AAAAGCTGCCATAAAAAATTTAAATGCAGGAATGGCTGTCTACACCAGTTTTGTCATTTCCAACTTGATTAATGCATTAAGGTTGATCAATTGAAATAGTGTAGTAAAATAAAACAGTAATATGAATTTCTACTTTCCCTGAAAAATTACCTGATTCAAATTGAGTGAGGTGGACTCTCCTCCATAATATTCATTCCTGTCTATATGGAGTACCTGTTTGAAAAATCAACAAAAATTATTAAAATTCTGAATCTTAATTAGTACCATGTAATTTTTTTTTTATTTTTGTGTGGAAACTCTCTAAATAAAAGATAATGACCTCCCAAATATACAATCAATTGATTGCATCCAAAACTGAGAAGAACATGCAAAAGCTAGACATTGAAACAATAATGACATGCACGAATAAAATAAAATAAGTCATAAAATAAAGAGAGAAGACTAACATATGAAATGTGATATACATAGATAAAGTGATTGGGCTTACTTTCATGCCATCAACAGAGAGTAAACCACTGAGAATGCATTCCTTCAGACCCGTGCCCAGAACGATTACATCATACTCTTCATCCATGGCGGGAGATAGTGAATTATATATCCTTTTGGTAATTATATATAAATAAATGAAGTGAAAAGAGAATTGTAAGAGAGAGATATAATAATGGTTTGAAGAAATAAGACACAAAATAGTTAGAATGGACAGTGTTTTATCAAAAGAAGACAGAGAGGTGTTTTCAACAAAGGAACGAGTCTTCAGCGTAGCGAGTGGTGATGGGTAATATTGTTTCTAGTTTGTGAAAGCCATTAAATTACCCGAAAATTTGCTTATTTCTAAAAATAAGAAAACCAAATATGGTGTGAGAATAGGTATTCAGTGTACTTTTATTTTAGGGAAAATTTCAAAATTAGTCTCACAGATATAAGGGGCGACAATTTTGATCCCGACGGAATGCACAAAATATGAATAGTCCCACAGCTTTTAAAAAATGATCAAAAGTAGGACTTTTTCGCCGGATTTACTATTTCCGGCCCGGAGCGCCACGTGGCGCACACGTGGCTTATTTTTTACACGCTGGCATCCGACGTAGATAGGAAAAAATTCAAAGCTAGTCCCACAAGTATAGAGGGGTGACATTTTTTGTCCCAATGGAATGCAGAAAATTCAAAACTAATCTCACAACTTGTAAAAAAATATGAACACGTCGGATGCCACGTGGCGTTCCGGGCCGGAAATAGTAAATCCGGCGAAAAAGTCCTACTTTTGATTATTTTTTAAAAGTTGTGGGACTATTTATATTTTCTGCATTCCGTCGGGACCAAAATTGTCACCCCCTATACCTGTGGGACTAATTTTGAAATTTTCCCTTTATTTTACTAGTATGTAATAGGAATTAACGGAACATTAATATAATTAAGGTACACAGTATTACATTATTTTCTTAAAGAAATCAAATTTTACTATGTAGTAGTTAAATATAATTAACAATATGTCATATATTACAAACAGATATAAAGGTATTTTACAAAATTAAAATGTTTACCTTTTAAAATAGTGAAATATTTGTAAGAATATATGTTGATTATTAATATGTCACCTCATTTCCAAATAACGCGTGCATGTTTGTACAAAATAATTTGTTTGTCAAGTCATTGCAAATGTTTTAGAACAACCGTATAAGTTAGGGTAAGATTTGAAATTGCATAAGTTAGGGTAAGATTTGAATTTGTATAGATTGAATTCAATTCGAGATCTTGGACTGCTACTCATCCGATTGTTTGACCTAACAATTGTTGATATTATACATTTATAAATTGATCATTTGATGAATTGACTATTGAGTATCAATTGAGCTTTTGTGAATTTAAGTGAAAAGAAATTCTGGTCAGACGGGATTTGTGTATTGAAAATTAGTGATGTTATGCGTGAAATATGTTGGTGAAAAGTTGTTTTTGTTGATGAAAAATTGTTATGTTGTTCTATTATTGTAACTTTGATTTTTTATTTTTGTCGAATTCACAATCTTATATATTTGTTATGAAACTTAAGTTATTAATTTCTTATTGTTAATAGAAAGTTGTTTTCATGTTGGTTCATAGATGTTATAATGTTTTTTTTTTTGGGTTACTGGACTCATGTCTTCTTAGTTTTATTAATTTATTTTAATTTACAATAACAAACATTTGTGCTTTTTTTTAGTTAATTTAATTACTATGTATATATATATATATATAACCTATTGATCAACAACTAAATCAAACAAGATTCCACTTAATCTTTTAAACGAACAAACACCATCGCCATAAANAGCTTCCAGCCTCACTTTCGGTGTTGCAGTCAGTCCTAGCCCTAGTCCAAGTCCCCAGTGAATTTCGAGAGTTAATGGAGAGAGAAAGAGGGTGACAACTTGGGGAAGTTAGTTACAGTGGATGCGGTTGCAGATACACCATGCCCATATTTGAGATTAATTAGGGGTGATTGTTTATGAATTGAACTAGTTTTTATTTGGTTTATTTTTTAATTATAGTTAATTTTAACAAAAGGTGGTATGGTTAGTTTAGTGAATATATTAAAATAATACTTGATTTGATGTAAAGTAGGAGAAAAATAATTGGAAATCATAGTCAGTTAGAATTATGTGAGTGGATGAATAGTGAAATTATTTAAGAATTATGATTTGATTTGATGCGTATTGATGTGATGTGTAAGAATGATTGGTTGATATTATTTAATTATATTAATAATATTGAAAAGAGTGAAATTGAGTTAAATTTAAGTTTTGATTTGTTTTTTACTATTGAATTCATATACAATCGTCCCTAGAGTTTTGGAATTCTACAGTAGCTATTACTTCTTAAGAATTCAACTTCGTAAAAGTGATAGTTATGGATTTTCGCCTGTTGTTATCTTGTCTGGAGCCCAATTTCTTCAATAGCTAAAACCTACTTATTAGCTCAATCTCAATCAATCTTAATCACCAAAGGCCCACTTGCTAACAAATATAATTATATTGAGAAAATTATTATTTATCTTTATTTTTTTATATTTGCAAATTAGTTAAGGAATTGCAAATATATAAAATTTTACTATTTTTTAAAGATTTATTTTTAAACAATTTATTAATAATTTATTTTTAATTTATTTTTACTTTTGATTATTAAATTATTTCTTTATAAATAGTTTATATTAAGATTATAATAATTTATTTTAAATTTCATATTTTTTATAAAACAACTAAAATATTTAATAAACATATCGTATAGATTAGCTTTGGATTGGTATTGTGCTTTCTTCTATTAATTATCAGAATGTAATAATTTATATATGAAGGAACTGAAATTACACCAAAAAAATCAATGACTATATTCTTTGAATTAAATTGTCGAAATTTTATCTTGCAAGGGGAGAAATGAAGAGATTCCTAAAAAAGTCCAGCCTTTTATTTGATTTCATAATTTTTTCATTAATCCATTTTTTCTTGCCAAAACCAAAAACAATAGCAGTTACTCATGATAATTATAAAAATAATATCACAAGGATTCTGTAAATTACCTTTGGGCCACATTTCCAAATTTTTAATTATTTTCCAAAAGTGGTGTAAAGCTTTTTAAAAACGTTTTATAATCAAATGTACCGAAATTTTCACGTTACAAAATCCCTGGTCAAGATTTTTTACAAAGACCCCTAGATTTTATTAGACAATATGCACTACACTACAGTAAACAAATTACTTTGTCAGAATTTGTGTCAATGTGCCAGTATATATATTACTGATATTCAACTGCCCTATACTGTAATGTGAAATTCAATTTTTACCCTCAATTGGTGCGAATTTCCACATAAGCCCATACCCATTTTCGTCCACACTGTAAAAATCTCACTACTCTACTCATATTCTCTTCACCTTCTCCCCCAATTTCATTTCTCCTCGTTCGCAATTGAGTTTCCATTTTCCCCGAAATTGACCTAATAACCAGAAGAGAAGAAAAAAAAAAAAATAAAAATGGAACATCCGTTTTTCCCGACCACCACCACCCGCGCAGAGGCCCTCCGGTGGCTGACGATCGCCGAGAAGCTGCTCTCGACGCGCGACCTTGTGGGGAGCAAATCCTTCGCCAGCCGCGCGCGGGACTCGGACCCCTCGCTCACCCCGGCCGACCAAATCCTAGCCGTCGCCGAAACTCTCCTCGCCGGTGACCGCCGGATCGGCAACAACCAGCATGATTGGTACGCTATCCTCCGTATCCCGCCGCAGCAGGGGCGGGACACCGATCTTATTGCTAATCAGTACCGTAGACTCGCCCTCCTCCTGAACCCTCAGAAAAACAGGTTCGCCCATGCCGAAGATGCTTTCCGGCTCGTCCAGGACGCATGGTCCGTGCTATCGAACCCTACACAGAAATCCGTGTACGATAAACAACTCGCTTTCTACTTGCAGCCTCAGCCTATGCTGCAGCAGCAGCAGCAGCTGCAGCCCGACCCGTTTAGCAACCCTATGCCGTCAATGCACCAGAACTTCATGTTTTTCGGAGGTAGCAGCTCTACTGGACTCGCTTCTGCTCCTGCTCCTCAGACGCAGGGGGCTACTGTCCATTTCTCTCAGGCACAGGTATATTCAAACCCTCAACCTGAGGTTGACCCTGTGGGCGTCAGGTCAACCCGGGAACCCCAGAATTTCATGAGTTTCAATTCGAATACTAATCTTGATTTCGGGTCCGGATCTGCATCCGGTTCTACACCGGTCCCTCAACCTGCTAAGAAGCAAAATCCGGAAAATTATTCGACCTTTTCTGGTAATGCTGCTGCAGCTCCTGGGGCGACACAAGGGCAAGTAAATAGCAATAATCATAATAGCCAACAGCAGCCAAATTACTCTGAAAGAGGTGATAAAACCAGTAATAATGCAAACTTGAGTGAGAATGTAGGGTTAGACAGGGCAGAAAGTCAGGAAGATGGTGAAAGAGTAGATTTAGAGGAGGAGAGAGTTGATTCGCCTGAAATAGGTGATGGCACCACAATGTGGACCGCCTGCCCTTATTGTTTCTACATGTATGAGTACCCTATGCTTTACGCTGATTGTACCTTGCGGTGCCAAAACTGTAAGAATGCCTTCCAGGCAGTAGTCATTCCATCCCCACCGCCAATTGTGGACGGGCGTGAGGAGTACTTCTGCTGCTGGGGTTTTCTGCCCATGGGCTTTTCCATGGAGAATTGGGAGAAAAACAGGAGTTCCGCAACAACTTGGACCCCATTTTCCCCAATGTTCACTTGCCCGCAGCCATTTAATGGCGGTAATGCTGCAGCGAAGAATACTGCAAGAAAAAACTCTGCTCCTAGGGTATATATTGATGATGATGAGGTTTTTGTGGAGGTATCAGACTCGAGCGAGTCGGACGATGCTGACTGGCATAAAGGTACAGAGAAAAGGAAGAAGAAAGCCAAGAACGGGAAAGTGGTTAGTGGGGGTACTCCTAGTAAGAGTTCAAAGAAAGCACAAGCTGATAAGGGCAAGACCGTGGATGTTCAAGATGGATTGGCATCTGAAAATGTGGATGAGACAGTTAATAAAGTTGCGACCGAGTCTAGTAAAAAGGGGGCAACCATTAATGCCAGAAAGCAACCAGGAAGAATTGCAAAGAATTTCGGGAAGTTGGATCTGAATGTGGAGTTTAGCAATGAGCCGGAGGAGTCTGTTCCTAAGGTGAACCAAGAAAACAGGCCAGGGCATGGGGAGGAGGAAAACATTGAGGGGATCGGTTTTTTCGAGGGTCTTGACGAGTTTTTAAGCAGCCTTCCGATTCTTAATGTTGTGGGAGATGAGAAGGTTGTCAAGGCAGCCTAAGGACCTTTTTTGGTTATAATTGTAGGTTGTTGTCTCTCGAGGCTGCTCGTGAAGTAAGACATTTTTTGTCGTACTCTTTTGTAATTTTGGCTTTTGCCATAGCAGCTAAATTAAAGCGGTTAAACTTTGAATCTGTAGCTGCTGTTGTGTTAACTTGGTTTAACTTGTGTATATATGGCTATTTATGTATTTTTTGTGTGTTATTTTTTCCATGCATGAAAGGCATGTGGTTTCACTTTGTCGTGAAAATCACATTAAATCATTGCCTTGTGTTGGCCCAACACATGAGCATGAAATACATTTGATCTTTGGCGGTAATGTGTCATATTTATTTGGTGATTAGCTCTTAGCTTTAATGCTTTTTCATTTTATTGCAGCATTGAGATGATGGGCTTTCATGTAGTACATTCTGTTCGAAGTGACAAAAATATCATGGGTAAAGGAATTCATTTAATGATGGAAGTTTTACTGCTAAGGGAATCTATGAAGTCGACTGTGCATTTCCTTTTTAGATTTTTTTTTTCTATAATTCATGGAACTTCTTGCTGTCTCGTGCTTAGGGGAAGCTGATCTGTAGTATGTGATGATCGAGCTAAATCTAGTTGAATAACTCTACTTGTACATGAAGTTCGACGTACTCTCACATAGCTAGGGTTCAATTGAATATCATAATATAATGGGTCCCCACCCAATCTGAGATCATGTACACCCTTATATACAAAGTATTATGTACATGAAGCATTTGTTTTTTGCCATCTTCCCTATTGCAAAATGCAGGCATCTATCTTTATCTTTATTTGTAGAGTCGTGCTTGATCAAGTTTTGCTCTTCTTTCTCACTGTGTATGATTAGATATTTCAATCTTTTTCCATTTTATTTGGTGCCTCGGGAAAGGTGAGCATGTATTGCAGAACTTGGAAAATCATTGGTACAAAGTTTTCACGATGGCGGCATTGTGGTGTGATGGATTTCTGCCTATCTGCCATTAAAAATTTGTGAAAGATGCTGTTACAGTGGTGCCACAGTGCAATGGCGGGATTTTTGCCATCCGCCATTGATAACCCTGAAAAACATATTCATCTGTCTTTTAATATGGTTGCGCGTGATAGTATCCGATGGAGCACAGTTACGCTTGGTGTCAAAGAAAGCGAGCATGAGGTAACAGCACAAGCTAACGTTTATATGTATTTGAGTACCACTTTTTATTAATGTAATTTTCTGAGTCAGGTTGGTTCGTTGCTGGGAAAGATTTCATAACATTACAAATTTGTGAAAATAGAAAAAGATAAATAAATGAAGAACTAGTCACAATGTAAACTTATGGCATCTAGTGGTGTTTCATATTTGCATTGGGCTTTTGGTAATAAAAACTGAAAAAGCAAATATTACAGAAATTTTACCCTTCAAAAGGATATGTACGTTTTTTAGAGAATCTTTAATGTGACTTTTGACATTATAAAAAATTATTCACATCATCAACTTTTAAAAGTGTTACTAATTTATTTTCCAATGCATGTTGTCATGAACTTTTTCATGATGTGGTGGATGACATTTAATGTTGACATTGTTGAGCCTACTTTTTAATATCTAATACTATGTTAAACATGATGACTCATCAATTCAGTTTATTTTTGGTTTAATTTTTTATTGATGAGTTATTTTAATTGGTCCACCTATACAAATAAATTCTTATCAAATTCATGCATTGGAGATACTAGTTTGATTTAAATTTCTAATCTTTTAGCATTATTCATATGTGGATTAACATTACAATCATTGACTAACATGTGTTAAAAATCATTATCTTTCAAAGTTATGGCTTTGGCGATGCTCTTATAGGGTCGTGATTAGCGGCCAGAAGGGTCGATGGGTTTCGACCTTGTATATCTAGGCTGGTCTTGCATTGTGTACATAGACATGTAAAAAGATGGGTTTTGGCGGGCTGCGGGCTAGCCTCCCATGCCAGCCCGTATTGACCTGTATAGTAGTAGAGAGCAGTGATAGCCGATGGGCTTGGGCTATATCATTAAGAGTCCTTAAAATGTTGCAGACACCTTTGGAGGTTTGTATTTATCCAATGCGTAATTGAAGAAATGATTAAAAGATAAATTATATATACCATATTTTTTGAAACATTTTACAAAACAGAAACTTTTTTAAAATCATTGCTCATATACATACCAGTTTTGCTATGGAGCCATTGGATGACACAACTTATGGAGCCATCCACACGTATTGACAAATAATGTATTGACACATGTCCTAAAATAAATACACTTTAAACAGATGTTAATACATTAATACATTAATTGATGGATTGCTCTATAAGAAAACCATTCAATGGTTTCATAGAATTTTTGTATACATAAATGATACATTTTTATTGAATATTTCACTGACTATTTTTTTTTAAGTAAAACTGTAAATATATCAAATATATCAAATATAAATTATTAATAATCATCAAATAAACATTAAAATCTAAAAATTCTCATAAACTCCCAACCCAAATTCATGATCGGGAATATTTTCTGTTCTTAATCATCCACTCTGCTTTTGTTGAGTGGCCTTATCTAGAGGCGCCTCCTCTATGGCCACCCTCTTCTTCCCCTTCCGCTCTCACCGACCGCCATCATCCAACAGAAGATGAAAGAAACAATGAAATCTTGATTTAGGTAGATAGTTGGAGTAATCGTGCAAGTGAAATTTTCAGAGAGAGCTATTTATATATTTATATTAGAAAGGGGTTTAAGAAATTGGGGTGATTTTTATTTTTTTTTTCTGGAGGAGCAAGTAAGCGAATGGAAGTCGAGAAAAGGTGGTTGCCATATATATATTTTTAGGAGCAGAATTAGTATGAGGTGCTTTGCTTAACGCTTAAATCTTGAGTACGGTGATTTGCCTCCTCCTTCCCCACCCCCGCCTTATTTAGAAAACCTAGAAATCTCTCAAGCCAAATCCAAAGTGGAGGGACCCCGGAAGGGTGAGTGAACTCTCACTCTTGTCCAATGCGTGATAGGCCTAGAAGATAGGGATTTTAACTAGGGTGTTGGTATAATTCCAAATAAAATTTAGAGTTTTAGTATAGTAGCAACTAAAAATTAAGATTTGTATATGTGCAATTATTTATGAAGAGCCACGATATATGTGTAAAAGAGCCAGATTAACCGATTACAAACTTTAGGGATTCTGTAATTGGAGTCCTATATAGCTAGTAATAATCAAGTATGTGCACATGCATAGATACAAATAAACTATTATAAGTTGCATACAAGAATATTATATTTATAATTATTATATAGTTAGTAACAATCAAGTATGTGCACATTCACAGATACAAATAAACTATTATAAGTTGCATACGAGAATATTATATTTATAATTATAAGTTATATAATATGCATATCATATTTTATAAATTTGATCATTGGCAACAATGATCAATATAATTATAAATTGGTACTTAAATATGAGTCACCATAAATAAACATAAAATGTAATGAATAATGTAGTTTTTACAAATGTAAGAGATCCAAACCAATTAGTTAGTTGAAAAAAATATTAAATTATTATTGTTATTATTATTGCAATTATTTATGCAATTTTAAGGTGTTTACTGTTTGTAGTATTTTTGGGCATGTGGTAACCGAGCTACCCGACTCGGGTCGTTCTCAAAGGAAGGCTGTTAGGAGCTTCGTTCACTACCTAATTGTCAAAGTCCCATAACCGAAAATAGGGTCCTAAACATTCTACTCGCTTGAAGGGATTGGATTTGCATGAAATTAAACTAAGAATCTAGAGCAAATGATGAAAGATGCAAATATAGAGAGAAAAATCGAAACTTTGGTCTACCGGAATCTCCATGACTAAAGAAAAAGAAAAATAAACAAGAGTAGTGATCATAGGTCATCTAATACGAGCCTTCAACACTAGATCATCACGCTTTTAGCAAAGTCGAGATCTCTACACAAGATAAGCACATATAGATTCCTATCACACGTAAGCAAGTAATAAAAATAAAGAAAAACCAAGAAACGAGCATAAACAAACAATTCGAAAGACAAAGTCGAAGTAGTAAAGCCTAAGCAAGGTACCTACTCTCCCATAGCATGCTCAGACGAAAATAGTGAATAAAGCTCGAAACTTGAATGAAAATAAACTTGCCGGAATTTCGTCAGAAAAATAGTCATGAACCTTCCAACCAAAGCATAAAAAAAGAAAAGAGGAGAGAGAAGAGAGAAAATGGGAAATGAGGTTGTGTCCAAAATTACAACGCACAATGTCTATTTATAGCTACACCACAAACATACACTAAAAACACGCACATTTACTAAGATACTCTCGAGGTCGCGGGCGGTTTCGGGAGTCGCGGGCAGGGATGGCACGAGGAAGGCACGGTGCGGCGCAAGGCAAATTGATACTCTCGACCTCGCGGTGAAGGACGCGGGCGCGGACGCATGTTGGGCAGGACACTCGCGACCTCGTTATGAAACTCGCGCGCGCGGGGCACGCTGGGAAATGGACTCGCGAGCTCGCTGGCAGATTCGCGGGCGCGGAGGGGAGAAACTCGCGAGCTGGTGCGCTCTTGGACGAACTCGCGGGCAAAGTGGCATTTCGCGGGCGCGGAGGGGAGAAACTCACGGGCAAAGGAGACTCGCGGGATAAGGGCATTTCGCGGGCGCGAATCCTGGAATTCGCGGGCATTGGGCTCCTTAGGCTCGATTAGTTCTAATTTCTCGCACGCTTATCGGATTGACTTGAAACTTCGACCCACGCTCCTCAAATCTTTTTCTCCTCATCTTGAGATACGCAAATAGATGTCATCACGAAATTAATAAATATGCTCGGAAATGGTTCGCGTGGCTCGAACATAGTTCGAACGGCTCGGAATGTCTCGGAAATGGCTCGTCTTCCCAAACACGAACAATTTGGACCTAGTCAACACCAAAAAGACAAGAAAAGTACGCCAAACCACAAAAACACAATACGAAAGTAAAAATGCACGAAACACGATAAAAAGACCAGTCGACACTAAAACGGACCTAAAAATACTAAACTAAACACATAAAACACACGAAAATAAGCACAAAAATACAATAAACATTTACTATTCTATTAAACCAATAATTAGCTATTGAAAAACTGCTTAATGAGATAAAATAAATTTAAATGAAATTAAAAAAAAAAAACTGCACAAAAAAGTTACTATAATTTTTTTTTTTGTAATTGTATAATTTGCATAAACTTTTAGTTCGAATTTATAGTTAGTTAATTTTAGTGGTATTATTATGTGATAAATAGATTAAAAAAATATCATTGCACTTAATTATAAAAAAGTAACGGCCAGTTTCCATACTAAATGGAAAAAAGAGTGGGAAAAAGCCATTAATTTTTTGTCCTGATATGCCTATATTGTTGGGTACACACATGCATGAATAATCTTGATTCTATAATTATTTTCTTCAATATATACATGTTATGAACCTAATATATATTCTGGAATTTTTTTTATGACGTTTTTGTGACTTCTGTTTTTTGATTGAAGGAAGAAGAAATGAAGGAGATGATGAACAAGAAAATTGTGAGGGAGGGAGGGAGGAGAGAGAACACGAGGGAAAAGGAGAGAAAAGAGAGAAATAAGAGAGAATGGAATTTCATAATGTTTTGAGCGTCAGAATGTTCGCGCTGGGACCATCCCAGGCGTGTTTTGCAGGTTACCGGCGATCCAAGGAGGACAAATCGATTCGGTAGAAGCGGTTCTATGGTTCGAGACAATTTGACGTATCAGTTGTGTTTGTGTTTGCAACAGAACACTAGATAACAGGACAATTGACAAAATACCCCAGTATTTTGATATGTATGAGAAAGTAAGTTTGATACACAAAGTAAATTGTGTTGCGTGTGTGTGTTTGGATTTCCACTAAGAGCATTCACATTGATGCATTTTATACTCATTGAAATGGAACATGGTACCATTAATACATGTGGATGTATGTTTAAATGAAGAAATATTTAGTATAATGATGATGTAGACATAATGTGGAAAACAGAATTGAATGAATACGAATGTGGATGCCCTAGTTCAAACGCTAGCAATGAAGCCCACTCATAAATGTATTCTGGCGTACTCTTCACAACCGTAGAGACACTACGCAAATAGTATTCCCTCCTATTCTTTTTAAATGTCGTTTTGACTTTATCAACCATTAACCAACTAAATGACATTTTGAATCTTGTATACATATTTTTCCATTATTATATCTCATTTAGCTAATAAATACACTACGTCTTTTCATATTCACTCTTAATTTTCACGTTATTAATTTTCATGAAAAAGGTGTTATTATTGGCAAAAAAAATTCTTAATTATTTTGCAACTCTCAAAACGACACATATTATGAACAGGAGAGAGCACTATATATTGCAATCGGCAATAAACAGAGTAGAACTAATTCGGCAACTGCATAATAAGTTCAAACTAATAATAGTCAAATAATTTGTACCAAAAAAAAAATAATAGTCAAATAATTAAACCACTTAATTAATCGCTTTGTAATCACCAACCTAAACTTTTCTACAACAGAGTGAAATTATTGGTGTTGGTTGTAAAATTGGTATTTTTTGGTATCTGACTGCTGCAGTAGTTCTATTCTAATTTAACTTATTAGACATGGGTTTGTAAGGCAAATTCAAACAATTTGAGTAGGTTGCACTGTAGGACATTGAGTTTGGACTATTGCTATACAAATATATGGCTTATATGATACAATAAAATGTATTAGTCACGTCGGTCTAAATTGGTTAAATTATATATTTATCCCCTTTAATATAGAATAATTATTCCTTTATCCATAATTCAGCCAATAATAATAATAATAATAATAATAATAATAATAATAACTCATTTCATCTCTTCATTGTCAATCTCTACCTGCATGAAATAATTTCGTAGCTCAACTGCTTTACGTACTAATTACTATTAATTCAACTCTATGAAGTAGAAAGTGCCATAGACCCATCGCGGANCGTTGCTTTTACCAGTTATAAAAAGCCCCACACCCCTTCTCATTCTTACACCTAATCCATAACACTCATTCAACAAAATAAAATATTAGATAAACTATTTAAATATATATATATATAAAAAAAAAATGTCTCCTTTCAAATTTCTCACGGTCTTCGTTCTCATCGCCCTTTCATTTCCCGGCCCCCAAAACAAGGCCTTGGCAGGCGGCACCAGCCGCCGGCTTCTGACTCCAACTATCCCTCAAATTCCATGGATTCCAAACTTCCCTGGAATTCCGGGCGGCATTCCCAATTATCCTGGATTTCCGGGCAGCTCCCCAAATTACGGAAACCCGAGGGACTTCCCGGGAATTCCCACTGGTGGAATACCGAATTTACCTGGATTCCCGGGAGGGTTCCCGGGGTCTACTTACCCTGGGAATTTTCCAGGCGGACAGCCGAATGATCCGAATGCACCTATCTTGCCTCCCCCAGAAATTACTAAAACTAGCCCTTGAAGGAAAAGTTAGCTATATGCATGCGTGAGCATTTTAAAGACGATAATGGATGGTTTTTCTGCTGCTTTGTATGTCAGAATCATAATTAATTTTTTCTAATTTGCAATATGTGTCTTGAATAGATAATTTCTTTAATATTCATTGGTTTAGAAATAAGCATGCCATGTATATCTATGCATGGTTGCTGTACTCGAATAATTTAAGGGTTGTTTGTTGCTCTTGGTATTAATTATAATTTCTATTTTCTTTTTAATAATACTAGTAAAGTTCACGTGCGATGGGGTAAAATGGGTTTCCTTTTTCTTTTTTTTTTTCTTTTGCATAATGAAGTATTTGTTATACCGTGTTGCATTGTTTTGCACAATATTTATTGCTTGTTGTTGACTCACGTGATTTGAATATTTTTATGATTGTTATGTCATAAACTCGTGTGCAAAATACATAAATAATCATTGGTTTTGAAACCATAACTGTTTATGTCAGCATATTCCAAATTTTATTTAAGGGTATACTCTTATCAGTATATTCAATAAAATATAGTAATAGTTCTGTATCCTTAGACATGATTAGTTTAGCTGCTTTATCTACCAAGTTTCCTTCAGTTTCTTGGATGACTAAAAATATTTCATGCTTGTGCCCAGAGTATATGATATATTGGGAGTTTTGATTATTTGTGGAACATAAAATTTAATTTTAATTTGTTAATATCAATACTAATATAAAATTTGACGTGAACCTGAGTATGCGCCGCTCTAATATATGAAGTTGTCAATGCATAAATGTTTCTTATATTGTGTTAGGAATTTAAATAAAAGTCACATAACCTACTTTGGTAAGACAATTATCTATAAAATAGAAATAACTAATGAGAAACTAATGTGAATTCCTGTTGATTCAGTTCATCTCCTTCTTTATGCTGACGATTGGAGATAGTTTCATTCCTTTTGTACTTTTTCTTGTACATTTCTTTTTCAAACTACTAATCGTCTCATAATTTTTAACTTTAATAACACAATCACTCTCATCTTCTATTACGGATCGCTTCTTCTTGCCCTTGGTCATTTTTGATGATTTGTCATCATCCGCATGCATATCAACAGGGCTGTTTGGAGAATTTTTTTGGTCATCTTTCATTTCCTCATCATTGGTAGTTTGCGACTTTGCAATTGCCTCTGCCACCGCATTTAATTCTCCTCTTGCATTGAACGACTTATCATTGACAGGAATTAGGAATTGAAATTTACTTGTTGACTGCAAGCTCAACCCTTTGTAATATCAAGATAATTTTTCCCCCTAATGAGCATCGAAAAATAAGTCTTTCATAAATATTACACTGGACAATCCATGTGAATTTGAAATTAAAAATATATTTCACCTGCTCAATTGATCTGAGGTAATCATTAATAGGACATCCAACGTACACCATTGTGGCATCCTCAAATAAAGTTATAGTCACATTTTGGTTATCTTCCACGATGTTTAAGACCAACCTATATCTGCGATGATTGTATATTGTATTATGAAAGTTTTGTATACATAAAATAATAGACGTGGTCTTTTTGTGATGTTTAATACCTTAGAGTGTGTTCCACGACTTTGCTGTTGCACTTTTTGCATGACTTGTAGTCGTCGTTCTTCTTAGTTGCAGCGGCACAATTTTTACACGATTCATACCATAAAGATAATGCATTCATGACTTTATCAATGAAACCTTTGAAAGAATATAATTTTTCCTGTGATGAAAAGAAAAATATAATGAAGGTAGTCCGAAATTTAGAGAAGGAAATCAAAAGCCATAGTCCAGTGCAGTTGCATTCAAACTAAACTAATTCAATAGTTGATTTACAAACTTAAGTATGATGTATAGAATAATGAAAATTAGTTAACTAAATACTTTCCTTACAAAATTTTTCACACACACACACAAGTAATCTCGAAAAATAAAAAGTATTTTGTTAACACAAATCATTTACCTGTTTGAATTCATTGGTGAAAGACACAACAAGACAGGCCAAAAGTATAATGATTGCCAAACTGTAACAAAATTGTTGTCCATCTTTTTCTTTTGTGCGATATTTTTTCTCTTTATAGTATATGACAATGATTCACATCAATGAAATGTACATACAATTTTATTCACAAATATATCGTATAAGGCCACAGTGCTCAATGCAATAAAAGCTTTCCATTAATTATTCAGACTTTGGTTGATCAAATAATAAAGCTAAACTCCCTCATCTTTGAGTCGATCAACACACGTAGAGTTTGCAGGCTGGACGATTCTAACTTTCCTAGAATTGCAGTTGCATATTATTAGGTATTCATTACCATAAATGTGTTCATTTGATTGAGTCGGTGCAAATTTTGACAACTGCACGTATATTAGATTGGATTTTTTCCTACAAATATATGTACACACAAAGATATTTACGCAGGAAAAGTTGTGGTATTTATTTTACTTGTTTATCTAATGTACCTTATTAAGCTCGTCTAGGTTGAACAAAATTTGATGTAAGGTTACAGATTCGACATCCTTAATCTTTTGTCATAGGCTTCTCATGTGCTTTCAACCTAATAAATATTACATGATGACAGAAGATTTTCTTTTTTAAATTATATTGTATTATATACATCTACTGCCATGAATTTAGAGTACCATTGATTATATTGCTTGTTTTCTTCACAAGGCGTGTTGATTTCCAGAATAGATGCGCCATTCGTTTGCAATTGCATTTGACCTAATGATATAAAAGTGAAAAATATTAAAATAGAAAGTCCAACTCTTTCACAAATAAAAAAGTTAGAATATAAATACCAATTTTCAAAATTAATTACTTTTAGTATTTTATAATAAAATATTTTATGTTGTTACCGTTGTATATCTTCGGTGTTGTTAGCTTACTGAACGTTAC